TGCATTGATGTGCTAGATGACCAAGTTCTCCACAATTGTAGCTCTCATACTCAATTCTTGCTTTGCCCTTCTCTTGGCTAGCCTTGAATGCTAAGTCTTTGTCTTTCTTCTTGGTAGAGGATGAGCCATCTTATAGTGTGATGTGCATGTACATCTCATGAGCATTGATCTTTCCCAAGATTTGAGTCGGTGTAGCGGTGGAAAGATCACCTTGATGAAGCACGGTCACAATATGCCCATATTTATCAATGGGGAAGACACTCAAGATTTTTTTACAACATCGGATGGTTGCATTTGAGTGAGTCCAAGCCCATTGACTTCCTCAACAAGAACAATCAAGCGTGAGTACATTTCATTAGCACTCTCTTTAGGAAGCATCTCAAAAGAATTAAGCTTTTTCATTACGAGATGATAGCATTCGTCACGCTCGCTCTTAGTTCCCTCATGGAGCGCACAAATGTCCAACCATAGTGCATGGGCGTCCTTGTGGTTCCTCACCCGGTTAAACACATCTTTGCAAAGGCCTCTAAAGATAGTGTTTCGAGCCTTTGCATTTCATTTCTCATAGTTCACTTCATCGCCTTGAAGGTGCGTGGGATCCCAAGGTTTTGAGAATCCTTGTGAGGCGGCTCTAAGTATTCCAACATCTAGAGCTTCTAAATACGCTCCATGCGGATTTTTCAATAAGGAAAATCATTCTCCTCAAAGATAGAAGGAGGTCCATCCCCGTGAGACATCTTTCTCTAGGCGGTTAAGCCTGAATACGTGAGCACGAGGCTCTGATACCAATTGAAAGGATCAAGATGCCCAAGGGGAGGGGGGTGAATTGGGCTAATTCTAAAATTCTTTGCAATAATTAAACCCTACGGTTAGCCAACTTCATCCCTTGTGCCTAAAAATGTTTCTATTGTTTTACCGCATAAAAGTTTAGCAACCTATGTTCCAATCCTACTCTAGCATGGCAATTCTATGAATGTAAAGATAAGAATTGAATTGCTCAAAGTAAATGCTTAAAGTAAAGAGAGAAGGAGAACGCGGCGATGTTTTGCTGAGGTATCAGAGAGTCGCCACTCCCCACTAGTCCTCGTTGGAGCACCCGCGCAAGGGTGTAGCTCCCCCTTGATCTACGCAAGGAGCAAGTGCTCTCTACGGGTTGATTCTTCGACACTCCATCACGGTGAATCACCCACAGCCACTCACAACTTGAGTTGGGTCATCCACAAGCTCCGCCGAATGATCACCAAGCTCCCAATCACCACCAAGCCATCTAGGTGATGGCAATCACCAAGAGTAACAAGCATGAACTCTCACTTGACCACGACAAGCCTAATGAGAAGGATGGATGCACACTTTGCTACTCTTGCTTTCACTAATGAGGTCTCTCTCTTGGATTCTCAAATCTCAATCACCTCACTAGGACCTTGCTCTTCTTGGCACTCTCAAGGGTGTTTCTCAGCTGTTGGAATGAGCAAAAGTGATCCCTTGAGTGAATAGAGGAAGTATTTATAACCCCTCATTCAAAACAAACCGTTATGTGCCACTACGGGGTGGCCGAACGCTCCGGTCAAGTTGACCGGACGCTCTGGTCAGTTCTCCCCACCACCGAGCAGTTAAGTTGTGACCGAACATTGATTAGCGTCCGATCAGCACTGACCGGACGCGTCCGGTCACAAAAACTGGCTTCTGGAACCTTACTGATGTTGACCGGACTCTGGAACCCAGCGTTCGGTCACATTTGCTGCTCAGTGTCCGGTCAGTAGCTGGAACCTGACCAGCGTCCGGTCAGCACTGACCGGATGCGTCCGATCAGGATTCTCCCTCTTTGGAACCTTACTAGAGTTGACCGGACTCTGGCACCTAGCGTTCGGTCACATTTCACTCAGCGTCCAGTCGCATCCAGACGACTTCACCTTAATCAAATGAACTGATCGGACTCTGCGCCAGCGTCCGGTCACACCAAAACCAATGTCCGATCAACATTTGACTCTCCATTCACTTCCAACTCGCAATCATATGTGAATGAAGTTTGGTCCAATTGATCTAAGGGCTATTTAGGAGCTACCTAGTGCTAGATTTGATAAGTGTGCACCACACCTAACCCATTAGACTCACTTAGGTCAAACTACCCGTCCATACCCCCTTAATAGTACAGCCAAAGGAAAATAAAGTCCTAAACTACTCTAAGTGTCACCTCAACACCAAACGACACTTAGAACTAGTCCATCCTTAACTTTGTCGTCAATCCTTTGAAAACCGAAACGATTTCCATCGTAGGTGCATGACAACCATGATTGCCCAATCAATTGCCATTACCATGACCTAACTTAATTGCATCTGCAAAACACACGTTAGTCACAGTAATCTCATATTGTCATTAATCACTGAAACCCAACTAGGGACCTAGATGCTTTCACAAGCTTTGTATTGTTAAACTATACTTGTGTTTAATGGAAAACGTGCTTCGACATGATTGCAAAAAAATGCCTATAATAGGAAAACAAGTGGGATGGAATAATCTTAGCAAGTATACCAATACAACAGAGAAGCGATATTATAACAAAACAAAAACAAGAATAGGATATCAAGGGTTCTATCTAGCCACGGTCAATGGTTTTGGCTACGGCACGACAAAGTGGGATAAAAAAGGGATCATCACTAACAGGATCATGACGCAAGACGAATATATTCAATCTTGCTAGCAATAGCTCACTACCCCCTATCGATTCATTGATTTCATTCTGATGTGTACCTATGCGCATAGGTTAGCATTGATGATCCTTGCTGCCTTATTAGCACTTGGCACACATTTGTTGCCGCCTCTTCGCTTCCCTTTCGCACGCAGCAAGCAATCTGACGCTATTGATTTTGTGATGCACAGATAAACGCTCATAATTCTTACCGCACTTTCTTAGGACTTCAATCCCTTTGTAGATAGATAGATAGATCTATGTGCAGAAAGTAATATTATTTTGCTCAAGCTTAATCTCTTCTCTGCATATCTAGTCCTCTTCGGTTGGACGCCATCTTAGTTTGCTTAACCTAAGCAAGTTTCATCTCCAATATGTTTTTATCCAAATGCTTCTCTAATAGTAGACTTAGGTCGAAGCTCCATCATGTCCTACCATTCTGGACCTTCTGGTCTATTAATAATCTCAGCTTTTGTTCGTAGGATGTACTATGATAAGATAACTTGTGCTACATGAAATGATGAAAGCCCCGTTTGGTAGTGCTCTTTTCCGGCTCTGCCTCCTCAGAAGGAACCCTATCAAACGGTTTAGTAGGAGGAGCAATTTTTCAGTGAAAAAAGAAGGGCTCCTTTCGGAACGCTCTTGAAAAGGAGCCCTCCCAAACACAACCAAAATGTTTGATGTAACAAAAGTTAACCATCTGTAAAAATGTAAGTTGGTCAAATTTGTTATGTTTAACTAGCCACTATAGTAACAATATCCTAATGTTCAGAGCATTGGGCACCTGCTCAATTTTTTTTTTTTGACTAAATCCTGCTCAGTTTCTTTTTGCCATTTGTTTTTTTCTACAACTTTTATCTTAATTAGATTATATGTATATTTTGGTTTAAATTTGAAAAGTGTGATTTATGAATGTATTTTAAGTTAACCATGTGATTTGGTTTCTCTGTGTGAGTACCATCTTTTATTTAAATTAATTAAGAAAATGAAAAATCTATTGACAGTTAACTTACTTTTGTTATGGATGCATGCCAATATATAATGGTTCACATTATACTACTTCATTATATGCCTCTCTATTTATTATTATACTATATTGTGTTAATATATTTGAAGTTCTCTAACACACAGGATGCCTGAGGTATTCATCTAGTTAATCTAATGGTTGAGATAATTTGTAATAAATATTTAGAGAAAAATTCACACTACTCCCTCCAAATTTGACCTACGCTCAAATAGCCCACTAAACTAACATTTGATTCAATTACTCTTTTGAACTACTTAGATTGGTTCAATTTACACTTCAAAAAGATTTTCTTTCTCTATGTACAAATTGTGTTTTAGTTTCAAATTATATGAGGTGATAGAGGACATCATATTTTGTGTTAGAAAAATATATTACAATTTTTTCATCATTATGTTTTGTACGATATTATATATCTAGTGTTAATTTATTATTAAATTTTCTAAGCTATCAAAACAGTGCCAAAACATTAAGATATATTTTTCTGTCATAATTTATGATGTCCTCTGTCACGTCATAAATTTTGATATTAAAACTTAACCGCTACGTGGAGAAACCAAAATAACAAATCCTATTAATGGGTAAACTAGACCAACTAAAATAGTTGAAGGAGTAAATTCAACCAAATGTTAGTTTAGAGGTTATTTGGACCATAGGCTAAAACTTTGGGAGAGTAATTTGTTTTTTTCCCTAAATATTTAATATTTACTACTACTTTTAGACCGCTTTTGGAATGTAGAAAAATTTCTGTTTCTTGTGTTTTTTCTATAAAAAATAACTGATTTTATTAAAAACCTGTTTGAGACTTAGGAATTTCAAAGAAATCAGAATTTCGGAAAACGTATACATGAACATGAAAATTTTCCAGCGCTCCAAACGTTCCCTAAAATTCCTGTCAATTTCCGGCATTCCAAATGGACGAGTATAGCGTGGATGCTCTTATGAATATGAAATGATAGAGGAAAGAAAAGGCCCAATCATCCCAGCGCAGAGCTCGAGCCCGCAGCCAGCCTGCCCCCTCTCGGTGGCAACCAAATCCGGTGGGCGTGCAGCGGATCTCAATCTGGTCAGCGTGGATCGGATCTCCGGCGGTGTTTCTCGCCTCCACGGCGGTTATTGGCGGCGGGCGGACCACGTCCCGGCAGCAGCGGTCAGCGGCGGCTGAGCTGCGGTGGCTTGAGGCGGCTCTCGGACGGGTGCCTCCGGTAACCACTGGCGCCAGTCGCCACCAACCTGCGCCTCACAGCGGAGCTCAGGAAAAGCGGTGGGACGGAGGGAGTGAAGAGGAGATGACTAGCCTGTCGATCACAGTGATGACGCTAAACCTGCATGAAGGCGAGCAGCCGAGCGAGAGTCCCAACAGCTGGGAGAAGCGCCGGGACATCTGCGTCAGCGTCATCACCAGCTACTCTCCCACCATCCTTTGCACCCAGCAAGGTAGGTGGTGGTGATACAAATCATGGGAGCCTGGGCTTTCGCATCTGTTGTACTCAATTGATTCGCAAGTAGCTACTGATTTTGTGTCTTGTTAGATGTAAAGTAGTGCTGTCGCGGCAGACTAGGGATGGAACTGAACTTGATGCTTGCTAGTCTGAGATAGGTTTTATATTTCCGTTCTTTTTTCCCTTATTGGCAAAGAGGTGTTCTACCTGAATTGGTCAATTCTATTGTCTCTAGGAGTTGTTCACTCGATTAAGTTCTGGAGTTGTTAATTCCTATGAATGGGATTGTAGTTCTTGAATTTGTGTTCCACTTCTGCATGGTTGCTAATTCCCGGCTGGTTTCAGCTCTAGCCTGCACCAACTTGCTTGGGAGCAAGTCCAAGGGACATCCTAAATGGATCTGAATCCTTAGATTTAGGATTTTGGAGCTAAAAACAGCCTCAAACAGTTCCCCAAAGAAGGTCTAAAAATTTGAATATCCTAAATCCAGAGGTCTCTCTCTCAACTTATTGAGAGCAAGGTTTGCTCCCAATCCACTAGGGCCAGCTTCCCCGCACGCTCCGAAGTCCTGCTCCCTGCTCCTGTGGACCACACCATCGTTGAATGCCGCTGCCCTTCCAGCCTGTTCCTGAACATCCTTATTTGGCAATTGCTGAGGAGCAATACTAGTCTATTGTTTTGTGTCAAAATCATTGCAGCTTAGTGAATGCATCTGCAGTCTCTTGGATTGACTATTGAGCAATACTAGTCTGTTAGATTGAGCAATGCCTGTCTCATCTGCAGTGTAGTGAATCCCTGTTCACTGATTCTGGTCTCATTTCTATTGATTGTCGTCTGTTAGTTTGAGAATGATGTTTTCTTTTCTTTTGTTTATCAGTGGAAATGACTGTACAGTTTCAGTAAATCCCATTACAGCTGGTAGTTTGCCTACGTGGCAAAAAATTAGAATATAGGGAGCCAGGTTTGGAGAATATGCTGGCTAAGAGATGCGTGTTGGAGCCTGAACATTGGATAGGACTCTCTAAGGATATAGAGAACCATTTTTTAAACTCTCCTGGAGATGCTCTAAATGGCTTTGTTTTTGTTTTTTTGTCATAGGTCACATTTTCTGTTTGTGTTTCTATAGGTTTTTATTATTTTCGTTTGTAGGCTAATAAAAATAGTGGGTTTGGTATGCAGGCTTAAGATGGCAACTGGACTACCTACAACAGTGCTTGCCGGGTAATTCATTCACTCCACACTGTTTTCTACTCATCTTGCCTGCTGACTTGGCTACTGTTTGATGATAGTGATGCAATTTATGCATAACTAGAAAGATACCCTGTTTGTTGCAGCAGTTAGAAATAAATTGTTGCATGCATAGGTTAGGCTACGCCAGCCGCCTAGCTAAAACAATGATACAAATCATGGATTCATGGGTGGCCACACGGCTGTGGAAGGAGATTGCACGCACAGGACGTCATGGGTGGCCACACGGCTGTGGAGTCAGTGGCATGCGAGAGAAACTAGGGCAGTGGAAGGAGCTAGAAGGGGACCTAGATCCATTATACCATGTCAAGAGTTTGGGAAATCACCTCACACCCTTTGAGGCGCGGGGTGGGTGGGGTGGGGGGGGGGGCAGCTCTATGTCTAACAGGGGTAGGCGCGGGGTGGGGGGGCAGCTCAAGTTCGGGCACAGCCAGTGGCGGATCCAGGAAATATTTTAGGGGGGGCTGAACAACACTGCTGCTCGATCTTAAGTCTTAGCCCCCCTACACTATAGAACTTTGCCTAAAAATTCATAGGGGCTCTACAGTAATTTGCACTGATTCGGTATGGGTAGGGGGGCTTGAGCCCCCCCCCCCCACTGCTGGATCCGCCCATGGGTACAGCTCTATGTCTAACAGGGAGTACTGCATGGATAGTCAGCATCCTTGTTATCCAAACCTCTATAAATACTGATACCCTACCCCACCATCTTCTACCACATACAGAAGAGTTCTGTATTTCTGTCTAGTCCAGAAACAAGTACTAGTTTACACTCTGTAGCTCGTACCTGTTAGACAAATACAAGTTTATAAGCATACGATGTTGGACACTTTAAAACAGAATGGGTTTTATTAGTTGATCGACATGTATCAACAAGTTGAATGAACATGCTTTTGCTCTCATCTAGGTTATGAACAGTTTGGAATCTCGAGAAAAGGCTCACAGGACAACACTGATGAATACTGCACAATATTCTATGAAAAGGAGAAGGTTTGACATTTCTGGCTAATCATTTCTGTACACTCTTCAGTAATTATCTCATTGCACTTCAAAACATATCCATCCTTCTTTTATAATCCGAAATGTTGAAAGAAACAATAATGTATACTGATGATATGAACTTCCATGCATTTATTGAAGGTGGAGCTTACTGAAGGTGGCACTTTTTGGTTGTCGGAATCACCATCAGTTCCAGGAAGCATTTCATGGGGAGCAAATGCACCCTGCATTGCAACATGGGCAATATCCTGTAATGCGATGCTTTTCTTGCTCTTTATTGTTCTATTGTTTTCTTAGTATCTTGGTTGTAGGTGAAGATTGTTGCCTTAACATGGTGTACACACGTTTCAACTCAAAAGACTAGAACCACCTGGATTCAGTTTCCAGATCGTAAACACAAATCTTGATGAAGTTAGCCCTCGTGCTCGACGAAGAAGTGCTTTACTTACATGGCAACATATAGCATCGCTGCCACCCAATTTGCCTGTTATCTATTGTGGAGGCTTCAATACACAGAAGGAATCTATGACTGGGCGGTTTTTGCTTGGCAGATCCAGGTAATAACTTGGTGGATGATTTGAATTTTTGTTGAAATTAACATGTCCCACATATAACCATTTCATGTATGTTCTGCAAGGATTTTATTTTTATTCTTTTATTCGTGTTTGCTCAAACCAGCCTTTGAGGTAAAACTACAAATAGGAGGTACATTTGTTTAATTTTGTAAAAAAAAACTTTTCCCCTTGCATCAATTCCCAACAGTTTGTGAACACGGCCCATCCCTGCAATGCAACCACCAATGCACACCCACAACCTTCTACGACTCTGCAGTTCCTAGGTACTTGATATTGTAAGCATTCAAACTTCAGGAATTAGTCCAGTTTAAATACCAGAACTTACATAATTTGAAAAATCTTGCATTTAATACTTTGGCTATTTTGGAAACATATCGGTCGGAAGGCTTGTAAGATACGCAAATGTTTCAATGACATGGAATTAGGAAGAATCAATGGTTGATACTATCATACATCGGTGGCAATGTCTGTATGTTGTGGCTGCTCTAAGAGCGCTGAGATCATATTGAACTGAATATGTATTTTTGAACTAAAGGCGCAAACGTGAGCATTGATATGAATGCATTGTTTACAAGTGTTCTGCACTCTGCGGTACATATTCTAACAACTAAATCTGCAATACAGTCCATTGTGGGCAAGGCCCAATAGTGGCCCAAAATCTCTAACAAAATTGTCAGACTGCTTGATACTGGTCCAGTTTCAATATTGGTTGCATGTCATGAGATTTTACATATGTTTCGCCAGTGTGGTTATATGTCAGGGGATATAACGTATGTTTTGGTCATAGCAACGCATGGGCACTCAACTAGTATGGAATTAGGAAAAATCAATGGTTGATACTATCATACTACATCATTGAATTGTTTTTAACACATTTGATATTCTTTACCTTCCTGCTCAAGAGAAGAAAGGTGGTAATTGAATGGATGGATGACTACTTACTGTCTGAAAATGCTTCAGTCTTCCTGGAGAATGGGTTTCTCACCCTCCACATTTTTCATTTGTGCATTGATCAATACTGACTGCAGATTGAGTAGGTGCTGTTGCTCCATTTGGGATTTTAAATAACCTTTTTGAACTGCTTTGTTGGATCCATAGAGAAATTAACCCAATGAAACATATTGTCAGGGTCTCAAATACACCTCTTGGGCCATTACTTTCTCTAAGTATCTTCCATTAGATGTTTATGGGAATCTAACCATTTGATAGGAACTTTAAATATAAACTTACTAATAACACTTTTATGTGACCTAAACCCTAAAACCTAAACCACATCTGAATATTATTTGCTACTTTTATATATATTTTTAATATGTATCTCTGTGTTCAGTGAAATAACTGAGCAATTTCCTTCAGTACTTCAGTTGACGCAGTTCTTGGTTATGTTGTTACAGAGAACATGGTGTTGTTGGTGATATGAGAGATGCTTGGCCAAATGCTCGAGTGCGAAAAAATGTTTCACTAATACACACATATCATGGATTTAAAGGTGCCCCTGATACTTGATTTAGGTCTTTTTTTCTAGTTTCTGTTGTCTTCTTTTACAGTTTCCATTGTAAAATTGCAATGAAAATTTTGCATTTATTATGCCAAAATAAAACTTGGAATTGAGGAAAAGAATGAATTGACAGTGTTACTTGATCGTTTATTCAGTTCATGTCGGGATAAATCAAATTTTAGTCTTTTGGCTTTTACCTAATCGGCTTCTTGAAAAAAGTGCCATAGGTTACAGTTTTGAATTATTTATTTTATGTATCATGATGACTTTGTACTAATATGCTCCATGGGCGAATATTGAGATCCGTCCACTATAACTAGTTATCTTTTTAGTTATACCCACCTTTCTTTTTTAGTTGCTTATCCTAGTATCTGTTTTAGCAATCTTATACCAAATAAATGTTCTGTTGCAGGGGAGAAACAAGGTGCCCTAGAATTTCTTAAATTAATATTTAGAGCTCTTTGCCTCTGCTGGGATCGACAGACACAGGACTTGCATATTGACTGGATCCTATTTAGAAGACGCCCACTGGTTCCTGCACTTTGTGAGGTCATAAATGACAATATAGATGGTGTTTATCCGTCATCGCACTTCCCTATCTTTGCTGAGTTTTTGCTTCCACGCTCAGTCCGCCTAGCCGAGACAACTTCATAGCCATTGTGTCAATTTTTTGTTATAGTTTTTCCCAATCGTATTTTCATTACGGCTGATTGTTTCTTTCGACCACTTCACCATGATCTTGCGGTAACCACCCTTTACTACTATTGCTGGGTTTCTTTTTGTCACCCCATTCCGCAAAACAAGACAATACACATGTGCATTCTTTTTGTGTATGTTTCCTGTCAGTAGTCCCTATCATGTGTTGCCTCAGCTTTGCTATCTTTTTTAAGTAAACCTTTTCCTTATGCCGTTGATTTTGATGTATATATACTGTATCTTTACATGCTATTTATCACAATTGTGAGAGTTCAAGTAAATCCGGATGTAATGAAAATTTCAAGCTTCCCTTTTTTCACATTCTTATATACATCTGTGGTCATCCACTGTCACCAAAGTTTTTTTTTTTTGTTTTTTTTTTTTGTTGACTCATATTTAGAAGCAGAGTGGACAGTTCAGGGAATAAATCACTGTAGGCAACTCTCCATCACACACGAGTGGTCACACGGAGGACTCTATTTCGTGGAGTGGAGAAGCTCTCTAGTGGACGTTTGGTGAAGAAGCTCTATAATGGACACATCGTCAAGGTAACATGAAGGGAAGTATAGTGAATCTTGTCTTTTTTAGTGGACACATCGTCAATGTAACGAGGAGGGAAGCAGATGAAGCTTGCCTTTGTGGCTAGTCGGTGCTTTGGTGGCGTGCCTAAGACCAACTGGGAGAAGGAAGAAACTTCACTTAGACCAGTGGTGGTGCCACGTATACCGCAGGATACATCGCAATTCTGGGAGAAGCTGCAAGACGCCCGAAAACCCTCTCCGCCCTAGATCCAAACCCTAACATGTTTTGGATTGTCACAACAGCATTGAATTTGCCATCGCCATGCGAGACAAGCCGTCAAGGCTCAGGTTGAAAACGAAAACGAAAATTCCCGACCGAATCGCATCGTTTTTTACATTTGATCCGATTGTTTTCAGTTTTTTCGGAAAAATACAAATTCGATACGAAATTCGGACAGAAAATTCGAAAATGGAGCGGAATTCGGTTTAAGCTATTTTCGACCGTTTTCTACATTTCTATATTATATTCGGTATGTAACCGAATTCGAAATTCGGTGCTAACCGAATTTGGTCCAATATTCACAAACTCACAAAGCCCAGTAAGCCTACTCTACAACCCAGCCCAACTTAACAACCCTAAACCCTCCACTCCTATTCCCGTATTCCCTTATCCCTTCACTCCGTGCAATTGCGGCGCCGACCCTGACGCGACCGTCGCGAGTCACGACGCACCTGCCCCCTCCCGTCCTCCGTCCTCCCTCCCTTCCTAGCGGCGCTGCCACCAGCGCCGTCCTCCGCCGACCAGACCCCACTCCGCCAGCGCCGCCACCCCGCGTGTCGATGGCGCCCCCTCCTGGAACGAAGGGCAAGCCCAAGACGAAGAGCGTGCGTCAACTTCTAGAGCCTCCGCCTGTTCTGGCAGCGACAACAACGATATCTCCAACAGGTTCATCTTCCTACAATCCTACATTCCTACCACTACCACTACCAGTGATGAAAATTGCCTGTGTATTTCCCCACCAGTTAGCAGTGTGTAAGAATAATAAGATTTAGTATGTCTTTACCTCACACAAATTATTTTAATAGCAACAGTCCCTATTTTATTTGGCTATTCTAGTTTTTTTTTTCTGATTTAGCAATGTTTCACTTGGCTTTTGGTAGGATCTGGGATTAGAAGGCCTTCATCTCAAAGTGTTGCATCTAGTGGAACTTGTGAAAGTCCAGCTACAGCAGCATCGGTGCTAGGATCAATGGCGGCATCAGTGGCAGCATCAGTTGATAGTGATGCACCAGCAACAACCACAACATCTCCACCTAATCAAGTGCCAATTAATGTTGATGATCAAGAGGATGACGACGATCCAGAGCAGGCTCGCCTTTCTGGCAAGAGGTTTAAGAAATTGACATCGTGGGTCTGGCAATATTTCACCAAGAAAAAGGAGTATGTAGAGGTGGAAGAAAGCTAGTTGAGGAGTTGTGGGGACTTTGCAACTCTAGGTGTGAACAAATAAGTGAGGGCTCTAATGGGACGACTTCATTCAAGCACCACTTGCTTTCAAAATACAGTATTGTGAAGGGACAACAACAGCTTAAAGCTGGTAAGACACCTGGTTTTTGAAATTGCTCATGTTCAGCCTTACAAATATGACCAAGAAGCTAGCTTGAAGAAATTAAATTTGGCAATAACCATGCATGAATATCCTTTCAATATAGTTGAGCATGAGTATCTTGTTGATTTCATCAAATCTCTCCGTCCTAGCTTTCCGACAAAATCCCGTGTCACTGTTAGGAAAGAAATAATGGACAGATATCTTGCTGAAAAGGAAACTTTGTATGCACACTTGAAAACTATGAAGTGCCGCTTTAGTGCAACAATGGATATGTGGACCTCATGCCAAAACAAAGGATACATGTGTGTTACTATTCATTGGATAGATGATAATTGTCATATACAAAAGAGAATTATTGGTTTTTTCAATGTAAAAGGTAGGCATACGGGTGCAAAGTTGTCTCAAACATTCACTGAAGTTATGGTTAAATGGTACATTGAGAATAGACTGTTTGCTCTGACTTTGGATAATGCTATTTCAAATGAAGTGGCTGTCAACGATATAATTTCAGATCTGAAAGACAATGCTACTGGTTCCCTAGTTTGTGATGGGATGTTTTTTCATGTTAGATGTGCCTGCCATATTCTGAATTTAGTTGCTAGAGATGGGTTGAAAGTCATTTCAGGAACACTCAGCAAGATCAAATCACTTGTACTAGCTGTGAAAGGTTCTCCATTGCAGTGGGAAGAGCTTATGAAGTGTGCCACTGAAGCTGGGTTGGATACAAAGAGGGGTATTCAAATGGATGTTTCAACAAGGTGGAACTCTACCTATCTAATGCTGCGAGATGCCTTGTACTATAAGGATGCATTTATTAGGCTCAAGTCTTCAAATCGTCGTAAGTATGACAAGTTTTCTCCATCTTATGCTGAATGGGAGAATGCATTGACACTTTATGGTTGCTTGAAGAAATTTTATGATCTCACTGAAATTCTCTCTGGCACTTCATACCCTACTGCAAACTTGTTTTATAGAGGTTTCTGTGAGATAAAGGTCTTGCTTGATGAGTGGTGCTATGCTGAAAATATTACAATTAGAGAAATGGCAATTTCTATGAATGCAAAATTTGAGAAATATTGGGAGCAGTCCAACATTGCTCTAGCTATAGCCTATTTTCTTGACCCTAGGTATAAGAAAAGGAGCATAGAGTACTACATGAAGAAGTTCCATGGTGCTTATTATCAAGCTGAACTTGATGAGTTTGTTAGTGTGGTAAAGAAACTGTACAACTTTTATGCTGCATCATCAAAGAAAACTAGTCAAGGGGCTGCACCTAGACCTAGTAACATAACTGATATATTAATGGGAAATGTAGACCATGGCCTAGAAGAATTCTTATATGAAGCAAGTGAATCTGGAATGGTTGAGTCAAATGAGTTGGACATGTATATGGCAGAATCACTAGTGAAACTTTATGGTGAGTTTGACATCTTAGCATGGTGGAAAAACAAGAGAGAACAGTATCCTATCCTTTCACAAATTGTTCGGGATGTAATGGCCATACAAGTGTCAACAGTAGCATCCGAGTCTGCTTTTAGTGCTGCTGGCCGTGTTGTTGATCTCTATCGCAGTCGTCTTGATCCCGAGATGGTACAGGCTTTAATTTGCACAAAGGATTGGGTTGCTGCAGCAAGTAAAGGTGCTAATTTTACTTGTTATTTTCACTTAGATACTTGTAGTTGCAGCCGAATAATGCATTGCATTTTTTCCTTCCTTATTTTTTTCAGATTCTAAAAAGCTTGGATCAATTGTGAGTGATCTTGAGGTTGATGCTTTGACTAATGTTGTGGCTAAACTGAAAATTGAGGTATGTTTATTGGCTGCTTCCTATGAAATATACTAGCTGCTAGCTACATGTAGTTTTAATTAACTTCGCAAATTTGTACTGCTTCCTGTGAAATATACTAGCTGCTACATCTAATTTTAATTAACTTTGCATACTTGTAGGAAAATAACAAGGAGCGGGATGAGGACAATGAGGTGGACAATGAGGAAGCAATTGACATGGAAAGTGATCCTGACATCATGAATGATGCCAATGAACTGTAGATGTTCATGTCCTATCTATGTCTTATTAATTAATTGCTTATTCGTAATTTGTATTAGCGTGTCGGTGACTATATGTTTGTCAATTGTGATGATACTTAAGGTCATGCACTCGTTATTCGTTAATTATTATGTGCACTTGAACTAAATCATGCACTTCTTAGTTTGGTCATGCACATTTTAAAGTCATGGACCGTGGGTCGGTATTTCGTATTGAATTTTCATATGCCGACCGTGTTCGATATAATTCCGATCGAATTGGTTCATTTTCGAAATACCGAAAGTTCGTTTTCGTTTTCGTTTCTGGCTATATCGTTTCCGCTTTCGCGTTCGTATTCAAATATAAAAGTAGAAAACAATAGAGGAGTTTTTCTACCATTTCCGATCGAATTCATCCTTAGTCAAGGCAACGAGCGTAGAAGCTGTTGCAGGAGATTGCTTAGCACTGATGTAGGCATGCGTGATCTATTGTCGAGGCATGCTTGACCCATAATGTTAGGCTGCAAGAGCTAACTCCATCCTACTTCATCCGTTTTAAATTATAAATCGTTTTGACTTTTTTATTTATATATTTTGTTATGTATTTAGACATTATTTATCTAGTTGTATAGTAAAATAGATGTAAAAAAAAATCATAGCGACTTAAAATTTGGAACGGATGGAGTACATGGCACCAATCATTGCACGAAGCTATCGGTCTGTTCGTTGGTTGGTTTTTGGGCTGATAAGCTCGACTGATGCTGGTTTGTTGTGAGAGAAAAACACTGTTGGCTGACTGATAGCTCTAGCTGAAACCAACAAACAACAAGCTGCACATATTGCTCATATCATCGATACTGTTGCACATTGTTGTCCTTAAAGGTTATAGATAGAGAAAACCAGCATCCCTGCAAAGACCACCGTCCACAACGAATTGTCTTTTGCAGCCTTGCAGGTTGTCAGGTTGACATGGATGGTAGCCAACCCAACTTCTGCCAAACCAAAGCAAAAAAACCGTTGAGATGAAACTCATCGGATGCCATTTTTTTTATTTTTAACACTTTTTAAAATTAATTTTAAATCTAACCACTGTTTTATTTATTTTTTCAAAACTAATACTTTTGGCCGCATCTATTTCCGTAGCGCGGTGAAACGCCTGTACCACGCCATGCATGGTGGCGCGGCGAGAGGAATGACGTGGCGATGACCAGGACGCTGACCGGTGACGTGGCAGGGTCTGCCGCGCCACCGATCTTGGTGCGGCAGTGACGTGTCCTGATCGGTGGCGCGGCAGAGCCGGCTAAAGGCCCATGGCGCGATCTGCTGCTGCCGCTTTCGCCGCTGGCCGCAGCGCCATTGTCGCGCTGCGCCGTGGCACGCTACCACGCGCCCGCTGCCGCGCGCGCGCCACAAACGCTGGGCGCGCCATCCCTCGCCGGCCGCCAGCGCGCGCGCGCGCTGCGCGCCGCGCGTCGCGCGCCACCCCTCCGTCCGCCGTCGTGCCCTCGACGACACGACGGCTGCTGCCCGCCCGCCGCCACCACGGATGGCCACCACGCCCGCAACCGCCCTCACTACAACCCGCCGCCGCCCTCACTGTAGCACCCGCGACTGCCGCCGCCGCCCTGTACACCGCTCCCAACTGCCGCACGCCCTTCTCTCTATCCCGTGTCCACCCGCCGTCACCGTCGAGGCCAGCGCCCGCGCCTCCCGGCCCGGTCTAGCGCGCCGCCGCCGCGAGGACGAGCGCCGCTGTCGCGAGGTACTCCCCTAGTGTATTTGTTGATTGAATCGACATTGTTAGTATAGTAAGTTAGTAAAATAAATAAATTTAGTATAATTAGTAAAGTATAGTTAGTATAGCTAGTAAAGTTAGTTTGTTTAGTTAGTATAGGCAATATAGTAAGTTAGTATAGATAGTAAAGTTAGTTAGTTTAGTTAGTACAGTTAGTGAGTCTAGTTATACATTAGTTGTTGTAGTTAGCCTTGTATAGATGTTAATATTAGATTAGTTAGTATAGTTATAGTTAGAATATGTATTAATATTACTATGGACATTACGTACGATGATTTCGATGAATTGATGAAGTTTCTTGAAATGCTTTTGTAGATGGATTGTTGTGTTAGAGTTTTTTATGGAGGAAGTGTTAGAAGAGAAGATGGTATGTTTGAGGATATGGAAGAAGAATTGGAATGGTTTGATGAACCTCCTAGCTTCAACGACCTTTGTGTCCGTTTGAATGCAAAGTTTGGCGGTGATTTCACACTGAAGGGGAGGTTTGATACTAGAAAGACTAGGACACACTATGTCCTCATGCCCTTGCGCGACCTTGCTCACTGGTCCCGCTACACTAGGGTGCTCCAAGGTTCCAATGTGCCTATGGCTGAGGTGGTGGTGGAGAATGGGTACAGGATGCAGGGTGTCCAGGACTGGCCGTCCATTGACGGTGTTGGAGGCAATGAGCAAGAATTGGGGGTCGAAGGGGAAGCAACTCAGGGTAACATGGATTTGAACGGTCAGTTGACGCAGGAGCAGTTTCATTCAAGTCAAGTATGCTGTATAAGCAATGATTTCGATGTGAACGAGTTCGAACTGGAAAAGGAGAAGCAGGAGGAGGAGGATAGGATCGGTGATGTAGTTAGCAGTGATTCAGACGATTCAGATGGTGACCAGGGAGATAGACATGCTATGCCCACACCGGTTGATGCCATGCCAGTACCTGTTCATGGTATGCCATTACCAGTACCAACTGAGGTTTTGCATGCTATCCAGGCTTAGGGTAGACTAGTCATAGATTTGCCAGCAGATGATATCCCTTATGATTCATGGGGCAGAATTAGTGAAGCGCAACAATATGTTCCACCACCACCTTACACAACGACCGAGCTTGAGCAACTAAGGTCGATGAATGTACCTTTCAGGGGCGTTCTAAACTATAGGGATGTCAGCATGACGGATATGGCAGTTTGTGACACCGGTCTCCAGATATGTAGGAAATCATTGTATGACCATGAGAAAGAAACCCTTAGGAAGGGGATGATATTCAATACAATGTCAGAGATGAAGCTCTTCCTTTAGGACTATGATGTGTATCACCATAGGCCGTATAGTGTCACTCATTCGGACCAAGAGTTGAGGTACCACGTGATATGCAAAAGCGGTTGTATGTGGAGGTTAATTGCACGAAAGAGACAGAGTGATGGCAAGTGGAGGATAAGTAAAGTTGTCGAACCCCACACTTGCCTAACAAATAGGGGGAAGGAAAATCATCAGCAACTCACTGCATGTTACCTTGCCCGTCGTATATTGGGGCTCGTTGATGACAATAACGACATTTTGGTGTCTTCTTTACAACAGTCCATATCTGGATTTGTTAAGTACGATGTGAAGTACGAAAAGGCTTGGCGTGCTAAGCAAATTGCCCTGGCGATTCATTGGGGTAGTTAGGAGGAAGCGTACAACAGGATGCCCCGCATCTTATGTGCAATGCATTACTACAACCCTGGCTTGAAATGGTTTGTGGACACCGGAGGGATGTGTTTTCGGGACCCGTTGAGTCATGTCCTCTATCGTGTGTTCTGGTCATTCGCGCAAACGGAACATGCATTCCAGTTTTGTCGGTCAGTCGTACTTGTTGATGGCACTTTCCTGATAGGAAAGTACAGGGGCACCTTGATGATGGCTGCTGCTGTTGATCCTGAGGACTAGATAGTACCCATGACATTTGCTTTGGCAGAGGGAGAGAACAATGAATCATGGTCATGGTTCATGTGGCTTCTACGTGTACAAGTGCTTGGCCCATCTCGCACTATATGTTTGATCTCGGACCGTCACCTAGGGCTTCTTAATGCTGCAGCTGAGCATATAGATGGGTTCTTGCCTCTAATGCATAGATGGTGCATGAGACACTTTGCCGCTAATTTCTAACAGCGTCAGAGGAAGCAGGAGGTATGTGACAAGGTAAAGGCTCTATGTTGTGTACGTACAGAGCACCAGTTCAAGGAGACAAAGAGAGAACTAGACAAGATGGTAAATGAAGCGAGAAAGGCCTGGTTAGAGGCGCAGATGGAACAGAAGGCTCAGTGGGCGTTAGCATATGATGAGGGGGGTTTTAGGTATGGCATCATGACCACTAACTCCTCAGAGTCCTTCAACCGTGTATTCACCGAAGTTCGATCGTTGCCTGTGTTTGGAATTGTTGAGTTCTCCTTTCATAAGTGCAACGAATATTTTGTCAAGAGGTGGGAACTTGCACAGAGGAATATAGCTGAGCAGGGGCATTTTAGAAAGGCCGAAGCAGAACATTTGAAGGAGGCCAAGGCATTGGCCAAGCAGCACACCACCGAGCCGTATGGACCCCGCCGTCATATCTTTAGAGTACGGGGCAAGGGTGGCACAAGCTTGGGCGGCGAACGTTATGGTGGATGAAACTACCGAGTTGATCTTAAAAAGGTAGAGTGCAGTTGCAACGTCCCTCAGATCATGCATTCCCCTTGCTCTCATATGATCACGGCCTGCAGGGTTTACAGGTACAACTATGAGGATCTGCCATATATGTCACCCTTGTATCTCCGTTCAAACACTGTTAGTATTTGGGAGATGAGCTTCGAGCCATACCTTGACCCGACACAGTGGCCACCTTATAATGGTTATGACTATGTGCCGCATCTGGATCTAATGAAGGTAGGGAAGGGTAGGAGGAAGAAGAAGCGACCCAAGGGGGACATGGACGCTATGAGAGGGTACGGCGAAGACATGTACGGAGGGGGAGACTTCAACGAGACCCGTGGCAGGAATCTTTGCTCCATTTGCAAAGACCCGGGTCACAAGGCTAGCAGGCATAGAAGATGTGGGCAGCAGGTCCATACATAGAAGTTCAAATTTTGCAGTGCTACATAATGTTAATTTGAATATTGTTAATTTGAATACTCTAACCCTTTGTTTATCAATTTGTAACAGGATGACCCCTTCCACGCAGCACCAGTTGTACCCCCTTCTTGAGGTGGAGTATGACGACCCACAC